AAGAAAGATGATAATAAAATAGTAACAAAATCGTTTTTTTAAAGATAAGTGAATATCATTTGCGAATATTATACACCATCTCACGTATCAAAGGAAACTCCTTTGCTACCCGTTACTGAGTAGGTATAATAATTAAATGGTGCTAACTAGGCAGTTCGAATCTCTTAAGTATTGACCTTCGATGCAGTAAATCCAGGGAAAATCTTAGTAACACATAAATCACGCATAAACTGGTTAACGCCATTTAGCGGCACGTGATGCAAGTAAATTTCAGCATGCGGTGTTACAGCGTTAGAGCGAAGCCACACGATGCGTTGCGCGCCGTCGCTTCGCTATGATTTGAACATATTAAGTTGCTTGCGTCGGTCCGCCGTTTCAACGCACCGTGTGGCATGTCGTTCTGTTTTATATATATAGTATAAACGCAGCGTCACAACGCAATGGCGGTTGAAACGACGCGCGAAGTCGGAACGCGTGCGCATCGACCACGGGGCCAAGAAAGGAAACGGGAAGGGGTGCAGCGACGATGCGTCACTAAGCGGTGCTACTTTGCCACACCGCATTGTTCGTGTGGCACTTGGTGCGTTGAAATCATAGCATTGTGATAACGCAACGCACCGGCAATACCCGCGTGACATCGCTCTTAGCTTAAAATTAGACCAATAGACTCCTGTAAACCTTATTTTGCAAAACTTAAGGTACTCATCCTAACGTGCTTTTATTTTTTGAGGCCTGTAAGTTCGTCAAAAAACAAACAAACTTTTATTCTCCAGCAAAATTAATAAGCCACAAGTAATAACCTTAAACTTTCTTACTGTGGCTTGAAACTATATTCGTACGCCCCTCATTCCATGTTAAGAAAAATATACATTCACACCCCTAATTATATTAAAGATTGGATAAAAATATGGTATTCAAGAAACAATTAAAAGTGTTTGATTAATTAATTAGTTTAAAAATTATTTATCTCTACTACTAATTAAAAATTACTATTTAATAAAAAAATATAATAAGACATAAATATACCTATAATATATACAAATAATAATAATTATAGAAATAGTGATGCAATATCTATGTCAATTGATTATGTTTCAGTTTGAAAAGTTCCTGTATAATTAGTTTAATTTGTAGCAAATTACAGGGTATCAAGTGTATGTACGTACTATAATTTTATGCGTATTACCCTGTACTATACAAGTGAATTGCATTATGTGAATATGAACATGAATATGAAAATAAAAATAATAATAGCAGTGTGCACATAACAATATAAGCAAATTGCGCCACTATATTTATCGATCCACTTTCAGAAACGAAAATCTCTACAATAGTTCACCAGCTAGTCTAATGTGGGTCGGAGAGCTACGTGAATTTTGTCAGGCATAGGTTGAATGACGTAACATCGTACATACCACTCAAAAACGACTTTGTTAAATACTTTGTACATGAATTGGATGCAAACCAACTGCAAAAAAATACTCGTAAAATTAAACAGTGACAAAGGCGATATACGATATTTAATTTTGACCTTACAATTAATTGTATAAACTCTAATTAAAGGATTAAATTTCAGGCTTATAGTCGTATTCATAAAAAAGGCGACCAAAATGTATCCTGAGTTACTTTGAAGAAATGATATTCGATTGTGTTTGCTCTACTCAGACGGCCCAATTTCCGTGCACCCAGATTTTTTTAGCCGTCTACATGTAATTTCACAACTGACATCAGAGCAGTATGTAGTATTGCAAACAACAGCTTCAACTTGTATAGACGCGCATGTGGCGTTGCATGCTGGTGCTGACACACTGCTTGCTTTCTGCTTGCCGCAAGTAGTTTCAAATCGTCGTTATCGGATCAAATCATCAATTTTTCGGCTCAAGAAGTAATCTTCAATACCCAGGCTCGAAAATTTGTACTATTATCAAAAGGTGGTAGATATACTATACTCGAGCTGTCATTAAAACTACTGTACTGAAAATAAAACACGACAATTGTAACAATTTTCCAAATTGCTCTTCAAAAACCCAGTTACATATTTATAGGTATTAAAAGTTACATAGGTCTCTACATTTCTGTTACCAAATGCAACTGTCCTGTGTTGCAAGGGAATGAAGAAATTATATATTCGGCATAAGTAGCTAAATTATAGTTACTGTGCACGTGCTTGCTGTTGCAAAAAGTAAAATACGGGTGCGTTAACTTAATTCACCTGACCTAATTCACCTAGGTGCATTAGTTAAATATAAAAGTAAGCTGAATTCACCTAATTCACCTGGTGAACATAAAGTAAACTGCATTAACTCCTTTACTTAATATAGAGCCTTTTTGTCAGTGGGACTCTGGCTTTACTCATTCGCTCTGGCCACTTGAGACACTTTCTCTCATTTTAGAATAAATAACGTTGAAAAAACTATATTCTATTTTTGACAACTATCTATTTCGACTACAACACAAGTAGCGAAGCGTTGTAATTCTAAAACTTGTCCACATTTTAAGTATGGCTCACTTTAAATTTATACATAGAGGGAGAGGTATTGTGCTATTATATAACGGACGACAATATTTTAGAAAAAAAATTACAAAAATGGTGCTCATTGGTGGAAATAGTTGTCAAAAATAGAATATAGTTTTCTCAACTTTATTTATCCAAAAACAATTGAAAGTGTCTCAAGTGGCCAGAGCAAATGAATAAAGCCAGAATCCCATTGACAAAAAAGTTCCATATTAAATAAAGGAGTGAATTCAGTTTACTTTTATGTTCACCAGGTGAATAGGTGAATACAGTTTACTTTTATGTTTATCTAATGCACCCAGGTGATTTAAGTTTACTAAAAGTGTACTTAATGCACCTAGGTGAATTAGTTCAGGTGAATTAAGTTAACGCACCCTAAAGCAGCGCATTGTGTTTGGAATCGAATGTTCGGTATCTGACAATAGTGTACGATATCATATAGAAGATCTTGAAAATAACAACAGTGAGCAGTGCACTATATTTGACGCAGTTAAAGCAGGTGGAATGCCTATTTAGATACTCTAAGAAATAATCTGGAAAAAGCGGTGGAGAGAGCGGTGCGACTTTTTAATACGTGAGTGGACGACGTAGTAGTACGGTACAGAAAACATGCAAAAACAGGCGTAAGACGGGCGACTTATGTTCAGCAGTGTATATTTTTAAAATTAATTCATTGACCCTTAAAGATACAATCCAAACAACGATAACTAACCGAGTTCTAAGGTTCCCGTGATTGCTAAACCTTAAAAATGATACTATTTTTTTGGATTTAAATCGATTATATTTATTTGTTTAACAAACCAACGTTTCGGGCTCCTTACTAGTTCCAATCATATCATCGTGATCATCGTGACCATAAGACCTGTATAGAGTCTGATGTGCTTAAAAAAATAAATATACATAGGGCGCACTATAAGTTTCCGGAACTGGCCACTTACATAAACAATATTTAAAAAGTAATGCTGTAGCATTTGAAAATGGAACTCTTTATCTGTAGAATACAGTTTGTTTCATCTGACTGTCACTTATTTTGACATTGTGGCATCATTTTAGAAATTGATTGTCTACATCACCTTGGATTTAACTGAAACGAAACGTGAAAATTTTCAAAGTATGATTTTCTACGACTTTAAGTGTAAGGTAACAGCTCAGCGGAGCTTCGCTCGGCTTCAAACTGCTTTTGGCGATGAAGCACCACGCAAGACGACTACTTATAGCTGGTTTGCAGAATTCAAACGCGGTCGTGTGAATCTCAGTGACGAATTTCGTGATAGTCGCCCGTCCACTGCTGTGAACAACAAAAACATTGATGCCGTGCACCGTATGATCAAAACAGACAGGCAAGTGACATAACATGAGATTCGGGCATCTTCAGACATAGGCATGAGTCAAATACAATCAATACTACACAAACATTTGGGTGTGAAAAAGCTGTGGTCTCGGTGGATCTCACACAATTTGACTGAGGCTCAAAAAACGGATCGCGTCACTTGGTGCAATGCCATGCTTACCAGATTCAAATAAGAGGCTTCAGATTTGGTGTGGGACATAGTAACAGGTGACAAAATATGGATTTATAGTTACGATCCCAAAACAAAGCAGTAATCGAGCGTATGGGTCTTTCGAGATTTGCCGAAACCAACCAACGTGACGCGCGTGCAAAGTGCGTGCGCACCTTGTGACTTTTATTTATTTCCAAAAATTAAGAACCAGTTACGCGGTCGATTTTAATCACCTGAAGAGGCTGTCGAAGAGTATGAAAAATATGTTTCAGAGATTGTCACGGAGGAGTGACATAATTCAAAATTGGTTTATTCGTATGAAAAAGTGCATTAACGCTGACGGAGAATATTTTGAGAAACAATAAATTAATTTCTGATTTTATAGTATTTTTTTCTTATTCATTCCTGAAACTTATAGTGCGCCTCACTTACAAGTCGCACGCCGCAAGGTGCAGTATCACATATATCCATAACAATGAAGAGTACTTCAACTAGTGCTACGGAGATCTTCAAGACGCAAAGATCTGAAGGGCACTGCCACTGAGCCCGTCACTTTGAGGTCTTAAGTTAATAAGTTCCATGTGCATGTAGTTTTACCAGCACCTTTTACCCAGCACCTTTCACTCATATATTACTACTTGACGGCAAAAATAGGTATGGTGTCAGTACTTCTTCAACCGTTCTAATACTTACATTTAGCATTTTCAGTGCAACATTAGCGTTTTCCGGTTTCAACAAATAAATCTTGTGGTTTTTGTTCATATTTATAGGATAATTGATAGTCTTGAATTTCAAATGTCCATCTATGGGCCATTTGAAGAAAATGGCGTAAACAGCTAGAATCTGATCAGAACTGTTTGGTACACATGAGACACGGAAAGGGTCATATGTTTTCTTTTTGCAGGTGTACCAAATATTGGGATTGATGCTGTCTTTTTGATCATACCAGGGTGAGGTGCCATAAATTGCCTCACCATTAATTTTTAGCCATTTGCCCAAATACAGAAGCCGTTCTCTGAATTCATGCGGTATGACTCCTTCTTTCGTGGGTCCAACATTAACCAGTGCATTTCCTGAAGGAAAGAAAATTAATTACTAATCTAAATGATTTTATCCGCTCACGCGATACATGCAGCCGTAGACGCATACCACACCTAGAGGTGCCGGTGATGATTTTATACCGATTTATCGGATATCGAAGTTATAACAGGTAAAATAACTAATATTATTTGCTATTTCGGTAACTACTCTAGCAAACCATAAAGTTTTTAATGCCTGGGTCTGTCATTTAAAAAAATAAACAACTTCAAAAATACATCACGACAACCGTGTGTGTTATTGTTTGGGCTGGTGATTTCGGTGTTTATTTATTGAAAACATATCGTAAGTAGCGTTGTAGTTTTAGCGCATCGCGTGAGCGGCTTTCTGGCTTACCAAATATTTTTTGGTTAGTGCGATTTCTTCACCACATATAATAATCATGTGCTAAGAACCCGGAGCATTCAGACCGCCACCAATTTAGAAAAGTAATATTTCTTTAATTGGTTCTACCAGTCGAAACCAGAGAAAATCTTCATGTGACGTGCAGAGTGCAACCCACTAAGCCACCGAGGTCGGCAAACATATGCGTAGAGTTTATTAAAAAAAATTATAGTTTGTTAAATTTTTTTAAATTAATTTTTGTTCAGACATCTTTAGTTTTACTTACCACCGAAACTCACAGTGGTCACGACGAGTTGTAGCATTTCTTCGAAATCCATAAGATCCATTTGTCGTCTATAGCCCCAAGAGGCTTTGTCAAGAGTAAAAGCGTTCTCAAATTTATGCAATAGCAACTTCTCTGTTAAAAATAGCATAAAGTTTTTACAAGAACTATCAATGTGTGAGATTTAAAGCAAGTATCGAGGGAAATGATAAAAAAAATATAATATATACCTCTATATGGTGTGAAGAAATGGTTAACTTAATTTTATTTTTTACTTCATTCTCAATTTTACTTCATCTCTTACGTAGAAGTTATTTAAATTTTAGTAGCAGTAGAGCTCCTTGTAAAAAAGGTCCAGGGAAGTACTGCCACCTTACCTGATTCTACCGCCAAGCAGTAATGTGAGCATTACTGTGTTCCGGTTTTGAAGGATAAGGGTGCTGGTGAAATTACAGGCACATGAGATTTGTCCACTTAAGTGTCAAGGTGACGGGCGCAGTGGCAGTGCCCCTAAGATCTTTGCGATTTAAAGCTCTAAGTCGCACTGCAACAGTTATGGACAGATGTGTAGCTTACCATTACCATTACCATTCGTTCACTCACTTGATAATATAAAAAAAAATCAGAGCTACTTACTATATGGAATGTTTACATACATACATATAATTCATGCCGTTTTCCCATCGGGATAGGCAGAGACACAGTCTTTCACTTGCTACGATCCTGACACACATCTTTCGGCTCATTAACACGCATCAGTGGTTACATATATGATCGTCAGTTAAGGGTACTCTTAACCTGGCCCTCCTGTAGGATCGCCTCAATTTGGTCATGGTAAGTTCGCCTTGGTCGGCTCTTACCAACTTGCTCGCTCCTACTCGCTTAATAAAAAAAAGTTTTGTCCATCTTCTTTCATTCGTTCTCTCATGTCCGAACCATCTAACCACCCCTTTCTCTGCCTTCGTCACTACGTCTTCTTCCAAGCTGCAACGTTCTCTTGGAATGTTGGTTGCAGAAAGAGTGGAACGTTTAAATGAGAAAATATTGGAGTTCATAAATCAACTTGTGCGATTAAATTACAAAAATATGCAAATGCGTTTTGTCAAATCGTGTTTAGTTCCTGCTCATGCTGTTATACAATACATTAATTTCTTAATTGATAAGATAAATAAATCAAAATAAAATGACACTAACTTGGAACGAATCTATCATCACCACTGTAGAAATCTCCATGATTGTATCGGGCTGCCTGTCCCCACCTATCATTAGTTACTATCTCATCCATAACATTTCCATCATTGTAAATCCAAGCCAAGATTTCTTCTGCCCTCCAGGAACCATAACTTTGTTCTGCCCAGTCTCCATCGCTCCACAGCACAGATGGTCTATATTTCTTTACTAATTTTTTGATATCTGGGAACATTACATTTTGTACATATTTGGCGTGCATTTTAATGTCTAGTTCATGTTTCGCCTTCGAATAAATTTTGTTGTGCCATTCTAATAATGAGTAATAAACACCAAATTTCATGGGATATTTTCTAACAGACTTTGCGACTAAGTCTACTATATCTTTATGTGGACCAATTTCAATTGAGTTCCAGCCAGGGTCTCCTAATGATGGAAATAGAGCAAAACCGTCATGATGTTTGGCAGTGAGAACGACGTACCTGATAAAACACCATAAAATCCAATTTAAGAATTGGTTTGATAGAGTCATGTCCACTTGTACTAAGCTTAATTACATCTAAACCAATGCTTGCAAAGCAAAAGACTCCCTTAATACTTTATGTTACCAGTGTCTTATCTATTTAAGCATTAGTTTAAGACGTACTTAAGCTTAGTGCAAATGGACATTTTTTATTAGGAAAATGCGTTAAGAAAAGGATACCCTCTCAACCGATAATTCGTAATTACGTATTGTTTAAGTTATATCAAACTTTGCCATGTATTTGATTACCTTTAAGTATTGGTATTAAATCTTTCAAGAATAATATATCAGTACAAATGTAGCATCCAGTGATGAACACACACATACACACACGCGCACACACACCACACACACACTCACACACACACACACACACACACACACACACACACACACACACACACGCACGCACGCACACACACATACACAACTTAATTCCCCTGACCGTTTCCGGCCACGGAAACACTGCTTCAGCTCGGAGGCTGTTCTTAGGCGCTCGTACGCTCTCACGTGACTCACCTACCCAATCTTATTAGTAAAAATCCGTGCGCACAGGGGGCATGTGAGTACATCGGCTTTCATCTAGTCACGTCTGACGTCCAACTCAATTCGTCAACGGGTCTCAAACTGTGACTTTTCGTTTGCCACAAAAGATCTTTATTGCGGACGATGGGCTGCTTGTTTCTCCCATTCTGTGGAGTCAATGTCGCAATTTTTCATTTGGCGCTTAAGCACATCTTTATATCTAAGGAGTTGTCCGCCATGCTTTAGCTTGTCCCTCTTGAGTTCCGAATAAAAGGTGCGCTTTGCCACTCGCACTTCTGCCTCTTGATATATGGCCGCCCAATAAAGTTGTCGCCGCATAAGATATACCTCGATTCCACTTACTTTAGCTCTTCGCAAAACTTCGGTGTTCAGTGCGCGGTTGGACCAGCTGACGTTTAATATTTTACGAAGACATTTCAGGTGAAATCATTCTCAGGTGCGGATATGGCGACGATATTCGGTCCACGTTTCAGCAGAATATAAGATATTAGGAAGTGCAACAGTCATGTAAATGGAGACCTTTGTAGCAGGCTTCAAGTCATGTGAGCGTAACACCACGCTATCTAGCTCTGACAGACTCAATCAACCTCTCAGATTAAAAACTGGAGTCTCCGTATTAGGGTATGAATTACCCTACGGCAGGTTTCATACAAATGTACACATTTACACACAGAGACACTCAATTTCAGATTAATCATGACTATATCCAAAGATTTATTGGATTGATAGAATAACTGGATGGGTTCGGACAATCTACATAGTGATACGAAATAAAATGACAACAAACTTTGCTCCTGCTTCAAAAAATAGTTCTGCCCAGTCGTCAGGATCAAAATATTCGCCTGTAAACTTCGGCGCGAAACTTTCGTAGGAACTGATGTTATTTTTAATGACAAATTCAACAACTTCTGGGGTTCCTGGAACCAAACAATATGTTAAACAATTTTACGCTGCAATTTTTAACTGTACAATTACACACAATAATGTAAAAATATATTTGCACACATATACATTTTAAAATAAAATATTTACCGCGCTCCCATTCAAACCAAAACCATTCAGAATGAAAAGCTGGTACGGAATATAATCCCCAATGAACAAAAACACCAATTTTTGCTTCGTCGTACCACTGCGGTAGAGGACGATCGTCCAGGTCATCCCAAACCGGTTCATATATCATAGATCGCTGGTAAGTGTATAAGATTAAAAGTGAGGTGCACATAAATATCAGCAACATGATAAACAGCTGTGAAACAAACGAAATGACAAGTTAATACTTAAAAGTAAGTACAGTGTTTCTATTTTCTCCATCGGCAAACTTCGTGTTTCGGCTATCATCGGCTTGTATTCAGTTGCCCTTTGCCTTTTGCTTTTGTAAAAATTAAACATAAAATACGTAAATTAATTAAACGCAAAACTGCTTAACACTTTTATGTGCGACAGTAACGGTCGTTAGGCGGAAGCGCTGATTGGCTGAGGGACAGTTTCTATGGAACTTTTTCGATGCGCCCGCGACTTGCCCTTGCAAGCAAGTTAGCGGACATTAACAGTTTTCGCATTGTCCGAGGCAGATCTGTGCCGGTCTCGTTCACAAGCCATCAGCTACGTGTCTTCGTAGCATAGGCCGTTTATTTTATTTGTGATTATCTATCTAACAAAGTTTAAAATTGTCGTCTCGCACCGCAACAGGGTAAGTGTTAAACAAGTCTTAATTTTAGCGTATTAGGTAGTGCTTAGCTCTAGTTAGTGCTTTTTCTGAGTGTTGTACACTGTGTTCAAACCCTTTACATTTCTGCTTAGCAATGTTTATAATGTATATAAATGCTTCATACAGACTTTACTTGGAACGTTGCGCTTGCATTGCAATAATACAAAAGTTACTCGCAAAATGCGCAGATAATTTTATTGGAAGCGCTTGTCTGTGCTGTATGGCTTGGTAATGGCGTAAATGGCGTGGTAAATTGTAAGCCAGATCTTTTAATTTGAACCAGTAAAGTACTTAATTGTTTTGTGCCAAATTTTAATTAAAAAAAAATGCAAGTAATGTTGTTCTTCTTAAAATTGTAGTGAAACTCCGTTCTGTTAGTGAACACCCACACCAATTGCTTACGGTGTCTCCTGTTCAAAGGACCAAGGCCAAGGTAAAACCAGATTGGCTTCCGAGCCGATAGTGAAATTAATTAATGATATAAATTAATAAATAGTGAAAATAATTATTGATATATAAATTAATAAATTCTTTAAATTTGTGAATTTTCGGTATTTTATTTACCACACCTGATTATCGAAACGTCACACTGGCGCCGTCAAACGTTGTATAAATAGAAAGATCTGGTTTTGCCCAGTAAAAGTTGATTGTTGTGTTGTTTGTATTATTTTTGCAAAACGTTTTTTTTTGGTTGCCGTGTCGTTAACTGAAGTGTACACCCTATACAATATTTAATTTTTTAAATGTCTCAAAATTTATTTTATCTGAATTTAATTATTTGTTGATATTGATTTGTTCCACACTAATTAAATAAGAAGAAACTGGACTTCGTCCGTGATGTCGACTCCAAGTACCCCCCAATACTCTTAGAGATGGTAAGGACAGTGTTCTATAACTTTGGCGCCATTATAAATGGAGATTTTTAACGGTATTTATATGTGTGTATAGTTCATATATCATAGGAAATGGAAGATTGTAGTTTATATTGACGAATAAAAACAAGTTTCGTTGATTATTGCTACTTACCGATAAAATAGTTCTAAGTATGAAAATGGCTTGTTTTCTCCTATGAACAGTTCTTTTGCTTGTTAATAGATATTTCAAAAATACCTGTATTATCAGCAGTGGTTAATATCATAATGCCTTACTATTCTTGTGTGGCTTTATTAAGTACAATAGAAAACAATACGCAATTGTTTGTGATATACATTTGAAATCTTTACCATTTTTGCCACATTTCAATAATAGAACAAAAAGAAAATATACGTGTTTTACGACAGTTAATCGAATAAAAATTATGTACGATAGGCATTATTTGTTTATACAGCAAAGGAAGCAGTAGAATCAACTCTGTTGTTTTTAATAGAATGCGTTTGAAAAGTGACGTTACGTGGTGCAACAGTAAAGTAAATAATATATAGAGAAATATGTATATTATTACACCTATATAATTTACTTATTAACTTTTTACTGAATAAGTTATAGGTACTAGTGTTCACAACAATAATTGCATATAAATTAAACCTCAGACAAATAAAAGTCTACCACAGATTTCTCTACTGGCCCCTAGCTACAAAACGAGAGACTAAAGGCGAAAATATGCAGTAAATTACGTCAAAATTCTATCACAACATAGCTCATTGTAAGAGGCACATATACAGGGTGTATTTGTAATATACTAACAACTTCGGAGTACTATATTACTAACATCATAAACAATAACTTTTGTTCCACGATTTAATAATAATAATTTCATATAATAATTTATCAATTTTACTTTCGTTCAAAAATAAAAATATTGAAATATATCGCTTAAAGCGGTGGTAACTCTGTGCGGAAATAAAAGAAGCTTTAGCGTAAATACCATACCGACGCAAAACGCAAAAAATATAGATCTAAAAGTGTCAGGTAGTACAACAAAAACGTAAAAGTTTATTTTTTATAAATTTATTACGTTTCGTAAAAGGTCATGGAACAACAGTTGTTCTTTATGATGTTAATATCGACCTGGGAGGTTGATAGTATTTTACAAATAGCCCTGTATATATGAGATTTATATATACATATTGTATGTATGAGGTGCTTTTTGGTTTCTACTATCAGACGTCGCTTCGAATATTTCAGCTCTACAGTAATAAGCATTTACTTTTTTATATTATATTTTCTTTTATTTATTTCACTGCCTAATCAGAAGACTGGCATGTAACGAATTGAGACGACAAGGGGACTATTAACTTTCTACGCTACCAAGGCCAAAAAAGAGGCTTCAAAATAATTTCGCTGTTCACGAAGTAATCTTCAATAACTGCTGCTTACAGCAACTGGCAAACGAATGATCAAAAATGGTGTGCTACAAATGTCAAATACTATTAAACTTTTCATGGCCAGGCGTGTCGCATACCACTAGGTTTTTTTTTCTATATCATGCAGGCAGCAAACAAGCATACTGCCCGCCTGATTAAAAGCGGACTCCCTCGCCGATGGCGAGTAGTGCGATGATAGAATGTTGTTGTTAGCATCATGTCAAACAGTTCTTCAGAATATGGACCATTATACAGACGATAGAACAGATGTAGGGAGACAAAGTCTTTCCTCGAAGACAGTGGTTCAATGTCGTCTGTAAGCACAGGATCGTCAACATTGTGGTCCGCGTTTTCAGAATATTGAAATTGTTTGATGATAATTCAGCTATCCATCGTTAAGGTAACTTCCGTAAGTCGAACACGTTAACTAATTTTAACTGTTTTTTTACTGTTGCTCTATTTTTTGCATTTAAAACGGTTATTTGACCATTTGGCACTTCCGCGTTTTAGTTAGGAGACGGTAGAACAGCTGTCGTAGCACGTTTTTGAACCGCGTCAAAGGGCCCAAACTGGTATCCGGGAGTTCACGTGCACGACTTGTGCGTACTGTCACCTGGTATTATAAAAAAAATAGCTTATTTGGTGACGTAGCGTGAGACTGTGCCTAAGTTCTCTAGGTTTTTATTAAGCCTCAAGTAGTATTGGTAAGAGCTTTCATTCTTTCATCATCAACCATTTATACGTCCCACTCCAGGGTCTCCTATCAGGCGAAGGTTTTGGTCATAGTCCTCCGCGTTAGGGATTTCACCCGTTTTCCGAGGATTGTGAACTTTCTTCGACGAGCAGGGTTCATGGTCTCAGCTTGACAGGCGGTAGGTTTCAACTATTAAGCTACCAAGGCACGGTAAGAATTAGTAATAAACAACAACAAAACATTCAAAAAAGTACACCCACAGCTGCTTAGACCGTAGCACATAGTTCTCTTAGCTACGAGTAATAGTTGTAAATCTACGGCGAATGGTGCTTTTCGTTTTAGTAAGTAGAGTTTAGCCATTATTACTCGTAATTTGGTCGGTATATAATAATTTTTTTAATTTCTTTTTTAATACTTTATCTAAATCCTTGGAGCTTATAAGTATACAGGGTGTAAATTTGAGACGGGGCAGCAAGGCCAGCCACCTTAATCGTTGTGGTTACAGGAAAACGGTTCTAGAAGACTATCCATGAATTTTGAAGATATTTTGATTGGCATTCACAGATTTTCAAAAAATGGTTCAGTCAGCAAGATAAAAGGCAATTTATACAAAACTTTTTTATGCCATTCGATCCGGTCTCTGGTAAGGATCAATGGTCTCTATGAGACCAACTGAGGTAAGAGTACTCGAAATGTCAGAAATCGCAAAAAACTTTTTATCTAGTCATCAGTTATTCTAGGTAGTTAAGGAAATTAACAAATTAGTCTACAAATAAAAATTAAGTAAAAACAAATTATAATCAAAATTATCTTCAAAATTCATGGATAGTCTTCTCGAACCGTTTTCCTGTAACTACAACGATTAAGGTAGCTGGCCTTGCTGTCCCGTCTTAAATTTACTACACCCTGTATAGAACTATTCTGTTAGTATGAAGCATTTCAGATGTATGACCTTATAAATTTAGAAGAAGAATCTCACATTACTGCTTGGCGGCAGAAATGGATTAGGATCATTTTTAGGGTATCTCAAATAACTTTTTAAACACTAAATTACACATATATTTTTACATCTATCTCTCGTATACATATATATCTGGTTTCTATAATTTGTCTAAAACCCCAAGATTTTGTCGAGTCGAAGTATTTTCAAATGTTTCAGATTTAAGGTTAGCGTAAACGTAGAAAGGAAATGGTAAGAGCCTTAATACATTTATTTGATGAAATCCCGGGAGTTTGTTCTATTTTTTATTTTATTTTTAATATTACGAGTACTTTTAGGCAAAATTAATTTAAAAATGAATGTTTTGAGGAGTAAATGTTAACTTGGCAAATGGACTGGCTGTACTTAAGCAAATTTCAAATAAAGAATACGCAAATTCTCTTTCAAATGATGTGATTTGATATAGCCAGAAAATAAGATATGCATACCTGCATGCTTACATTATTTATTAATTAATGACAAAATATACGGACTT